GGGGAAGTGGGAGTTGGGATTGAGATCACAGTCGAGTCGGAGTTTGATAGCTGGGTCTTGTCTGACCCCTTGTTTCCGACAGGTTCAATTGATGGGGGAGCTAAGTCCAAGAATTCGGAGCCCCATTCATGTACGGTACTACGGGCAGAGGATGGGTTAAGCATGGGAAACTCAGAAGGGAAGAATCGCACATGATGTGACATTTTAATTTTATTCAATTCGGGAACCCACAGTTTGTATGACTTATGGGAGTCGTCAAAGCCAATGAGTATTGCCTCAACACCGGATGGGGAGAACTTTGAGTATCTGAACTTCCTTTCATCCAACAAAACGGCTCAACATCCAAAAGGGTGGAGTCAGGATAGGTCCGGTGGCTTTCCAGTCCAGAGCTCAATTGGTGACTTCATGCCGATGGAGCTGTCGGGCGAGTGATTCTCCAGGAAGACGGAAGTGGTAACTGCTTCCCCCCACCATGACAGGTCCAAACCTGATGTGAGTAGAAGAGCTTGGGCCTTTTCCACAGTTGTCCGGTTTCCCCTTTCCGCGAAGGGATTTTGCTGAGGCGTGTACGGGGCAGAGGTGTGGTGACTTATGCCGTTTTTGTTGAATAGGTCCGCAAATTGTTTGTTAACAAATTCTCCTCCGTTGTCTGACACTACCGATTTTAGTTTACGACCGGTGAAATTCTCAGCACGAAGTAGGAAGGATTGAAAAAGGTTGAAAGTATCCGACTTACTCCGCATCGGGAAGATAAATCGAAATTTGCTGTGACCATCAACGATCTTCAGGAAATAGCGATTACCTCCCCGTGTGACTGGAGTGATGGGGCCACAAAGGTCCATGTGGACACAGTCCAGCAGTCCTTCAGCGATCGGGAAGTGGCCCGGGAAAGGTTGCCGGTGCATTTTGGATAGGTCGCAGTTGGAGCAGCTGAGATTGTCAATTTTGAGATCCGGATAGGCGGCTTTGAGGTATGGAAGGCTTGGGTGTCCCAGGGAGTTATGGAGGGTGATTGGGTCCATGCGGACCGAGAATGCCTTGGGGCTTACCATGTCAATGGTGAGAACGTTTTCGGCGGTGTTACCGACACAGAGGGTGTGATTTCCCTTCTTGAAACAGAAACGAGATCCGTCATTGGTTGGAATGAGGGAGTAGCCTTGTTGAAGGTAGTAAGTGAGAGGTAGAAGCGAGTTGGAGAGTTCAGGCACAAAATACGCTTTGGGAATGTTGATTGGTCCTGAGGCGGTTAAGATGACATCACTGCCCTCGCCGACGATGGGGATGCCTGATCCATTTGCCGCAAAAACCGTAGAAGTGATGGGTTGGAAAGTGGTGAAGTAAGACCGGAACTTGAGATAGTGTCCGGTGGCTCCGCTGTCTAGAATGATGGCATCGGCAACCCCTGAGTTGACACTGAGCATTGAATTTTTGGCTACTCGGGCATTGGCTCTGTCCATGGCCGCTTGGAAGTAGGCTACTGCTTTTTCTGGGTGAACCAAATGACAGTCGTCCTCAGAATGCGTAGCGGCAGGATTGTGCATACCATTTTCGCATCAAACACGACCCTTCTTTGATTTATTTTTCGAGGAATTGCCGGGAGGAGACGGGTCTTGAGTGACAGCCAGGGCAGTACCGGAATTTGTTGTAGGAGGAGCGAAGTTAGCTTCAGACTGACGTCGGATCTCACTTTCCAAGTCCTTTAGGAAACTTGTCAAGTCAGGAGAGGCTTCCGATTTCTTCATGGTTGCGAATTGTATGGTTCGGAACATGGCAAAGGAATTCGGAAGTCGTTTCAGAATGAGAAAAATCCAACAAAGCTCTAGAGTGTTCTTGTCGAGTTTTCCAGCAGAAACCTCTATGAGCAACTGAAAAGTGGTCCGGAATATGTTGACAGCTTCCTTCATGTTGTCTTCTCCAAAACGGATGTCGTACAGCTTGTCCCACACGTTGGCAGTGTTCTCAATGGACTGATCGGCGTTGTGACTCAGAATGGTGTCCCACAAAGCTTTGGGTTCATAGGTTTTGTAAGCCTGTCCCACAAAACGATTTGCGTTTTCCTCATTTAGGTGCATTCGAATGAAGGTGGTGGTGATTTTCTTCTTCTCTTTATATTTCGGATCCTTCTTGAGTTCCTTTTGGTCTTCCTCGAGAACGTAATCATCCAACATTTGATATCCGAGAGCGGAGATGACTTTGAAACGCCATGTGGCAAAGTTGGTGTCGTCGAGAGGGTCGGTGACGGTTTTCATGGGAGAGTGATGGATGGACTCTGACATGATGCTTGTTTTGGGGACTAGGGAATTTGACAAGTGTTCGCTTGAGCCCGAGTCGGAGATTTCGCCTTCTACGGGATTGGTGGAGTGCTCTGGGGCTGGGTAATCTTCAGGGGCAGGAGTGAATGGGAATCAACCAATGGACGTAGAGGGTAGATCGTCTGATTCCTTATTTCCTGCCACGGTGACTAGTCTTTCTTCTGAGTTCAAGTTTTCAGAGTCGTATCGTGTTCCTATCTTTTTGAGGCTCTTAGTAGGCTGGGCTCATAACCTGAGAAACACCAGTGGTCCGCAGTGAGAACAAGGAAAGAGTCTTGGGAAGACAAGGACTAAGCTGAATCGAAGAGAAAAAGATAATCACCTGAGAAACACCAGTGGTCTGCAGTGAGCACAAGGAAAGAGTCTTGGGAAGACGAGGACTAAGCTGAATCAAAGAGAAAAAGATAATCACCTATTGAGGTGATGTAACAATTGCGACTATGTAAGTGAGGAAAAAGGAAAAGAAGGAAAAACAAGGTTCTGAACTTGAGAATCTAAATACAGGCTTTAACCTAATCTAGTGATGATATGTACAAGATTCCGCAGTGTTCCTCCTCTCCTGAAACCTAACTGAGTACCTAGTCGCGACTTTCTCCTGACTGTCGCTTGACTGTCACATTTTTTGGTGAATGATTAATACTACTAATGGTTTTCTGTAAATAATGATAAAAGGTTTGTTGGTTGCTGAGGGCTTACTAATGATAAATGATGTAGATTATTAATAATATTAATTTGGGGATGAGGGATGTTATAATGAGGTTTGTTGTTAAATGATTCTACTAACTTTGTTTTCTGATGACTACTACTTTTACCCAATAACTACTAAAATACTAATTACTAATCACTACTAATAACTACTGACACTCCAGAACACTTCTGGTAGCTCAGGATCAACTACTGCTCTGAGAGACTGTGTGGATGATGGGGGGAAAAAGTCTGAGATAAGGGGGGAGAGGGCCTCCTTTTATATTAATTTTTGAGGGATTTTTGCTGCAGGGGGACTCCCTTAGTGCCCTGGTTTTGCTGGTGCACTTTATGTTGTTAGGTATGTGTAATCTGTTGCCCGGTAATTAAGCCTTCTTGTTGGTTGTAACCAGACAACCAGCCTCCGTATCCATGATCGATGTGATGTTATTTGCTGTGTAGCCAAGCTTCCGTATCCATGATGTCATAGTATCTTCTGTGTAACCAAGCCTCCGTATCCATGGTGTAAGAATATTTGCTGTGTAGCCTAGCCTCCGTATCCATGATGTCATAGTATCTGCTGTGTAACCAAGCCACCTTATCCATGCTGTCCTAGTATCTGCTGTGTAACCAAGCTTCTGTATCCATGATGTCATAGTATCTTCTGTGTAACCAAGCTTCCGTATCCATGGTGTAAGAAGAATTTCCTGTTTAGCCTAGCTGCCGTATCCACAATGTCATAATCTTTCCTTGGAGACCTCCTTGATAGTCAGCTGTGTTTTTTCTGATGTCATGTATTTGGTTGTAGTCAACAAACAATCCTGCTGAATACCACCTGTTGTGCATTTAGTGTCCAAAAAAGCTTATTCAACATTCTTGTTGGTGTTTACACAGGTACAGATCACCACACCGCTACACTAAGCTTTTTGGGCCAAAAGCTTAGCGGCCCACTGCTGATAGGCATCAAATTGCACTGGGCCTTTATCACATCACATTGTCAGAGAAATTTGGGGGCACCACACCACATTGCTTGCATAAAATTCTTCAATGTGGAGAATCAGCATTGCATCAATTTAGCAATGTGATGCAATAATTTAGGACAGATGCCAATATTGTTGGCATGTATTGCAAAGAAATGTGAAAACTCTGGGGTTTTTTTGGGTGCTAAGTGTCTAGTTATCCTGCAGTCAATAATTATTGCATATTGCATTGGTATTCCGACCCATGCCTTGCTTTCCAATACAATGCCAATGCAATGAATTGCATTTCCAATGCATTACATTGGTATCAATTTAATGTACATTGCTAAAACAATGCAATGCCAATAAATGCCTATTTATCACATCACATTGTTTCACTGTTGATCATACATATGAGAGGGAGGCACTTGTCATGTTGCTCAACGTCTTCAGTCATATTTGGGAAAAATTTTCTGTGCAACCTGACATTTTGGAAAAGTAGTTCTGATACAGCTGCGGGTAGCCTCCTTCAAAGTCTTGCCAAAGATTTGGTGCTTGGCCCTTCCTTGACCCACCTGGTTTTGGTGGTTCCTTGTTGCTTCTTTTTCTTTCTTGTCAAAGAAATTCTTCAGTTTCTTCAGAGACACTTTTGAGCACAACCAATAGGAGTTGTGTTGAGCTTGAAATGAGAGTGTTGATTGAGAACATTCTGAATAATTGCAAGACAATCATTTGTTACTGCAGCCTGCATTGTCACCCTGTTGTTGCAGTTGGGATTCATCTGCAGTGACTGTACCTACAATTACATGCGCAGTCACACAGACCCGCAAAGACAGGGTGACACTGAAAGTCGGAGCAGGTCCTCTTTGCCCACATAACTCTCATCGCACCACGGACAATTGCATGTCGCTCCCGCGCGGAGCGACATCTGGGGGTTTCATTGGGGGTTTCGTGCGCAGTCACTGCGCCTACTGCCGCAGTCACGCACGCGGATTCGTCAAGGTGACGGTTACATCCGCGGCGACACGCAAATGACCGTGGTGTCGGCGATATGGCCGAGTGGTCTAAGGCGCCGTCTTAAGGAGGTACCTGGGACGTCGTGAGATGTTCCCCATGTAGTCCGGCGGTCTTCGGGCGTGGGTTCGAATCCCACTGTCGTCAGCGCTTTTTGGCATCTTTTGAATGCTCCTGGCGACTGCATTGTCTGCTGGTCAATTTCGTAGCAACAAGACGCATGGTTGCTGTCTAAAGGTGTTATGATCGTAAATTGTTTGTTTGGCCTTTTTCTAGTTCCGCACGCAAAATAACCGACAAGGCTGAATGAAAGTTGCAGCTCATGAAAGGTTAGAAAGCCGGAGCGGCCGTTGCTCACATTCTTGCGCACTGAGGATGAGAGGAACAACTATCAAAGTGGCTAAGTAGAATTTTTGAAGATCATAAATTTCATTCTTTTTGCAATTTCATTGAGTCATGAATGAAAAGATAGCTACATCAAGCGACACAATAGTTGAGCAGAAACAACCTCATGTGTACGGCACATTACAGCATGTTAGGCAAGGCCTTCATACTCCCAGAATGATTCCATGAGCACAAGATTTCTCGGCTTCAGTGTTAAAAACGTTGACATTCCTGAAGGCGGGTTTTGTAAAGGAACAAATAAAAGCTGGAGTTAATGTAGGACAGAAAGGAGAGGCCAAGTAAAATCATATAGCTAGCTTACCACTTCGGTTCGTATGTGACTGGAACATTGTAACGGACGGTCTTATTCTTGCCCAATTCAGTGATCTTGTTGAAATCTTCCTCTGAAAGTTTAACTTGCTTGAAGTTGGAATCAATCCTCGACGGAGTTACCCTAAAGTAAATAGGCTCAGTGAAACAGCATTAACATGATACCTGACAGGCCTGAATTCAAGAAAGAAAAACGTTGAACTGACGATTTAGGGATGACTGAAATCCCACCAACAGCACCCCAGGCAATCAAAACCTGGGCCGGATCAACAGTCTCACCTGATTGCTTGGAGAGCTTCGCAGCGATTTCCTTGACTGGTTGGCAGGGAAGGAGACAAAACCGGATGAGTAAAGTCTCTTTTTTGGTATTTGAAATTCGAAGAATGAAGAGTACCTTCAGGATAATCTACAATCTTTGTTTCTCCAACCAGGTTATTACCCAAAGGCGAGTAAGCAGTAACGTGAATATTTTTCGAGTTGCAGTAGTTTACAAGGTCGGTTTGAAGGCATAAAGGATGTCTTTCGATCTGTGTAGAATTACGGAAAGTTTTGAAAAGGTCAGATGGATGAGCTTCTTCGATGAAGTCTGAAGGAAACAGCTGCATGGGGAACTCACTTGATTCACGGTCGGCGCAACACCAGTAGCTTTGAATATCGCTTCAAGATGTTCAATTTCAAAATTGCTCACACCGATCGCTAAAATTTAGTGTAAGAGCATTGTTACGTTCATCTCCACCACTGATAAGATCTACAAAGAGTCTCTTTTTCCTACCTTTGACCTTGCCAGTGTTCAGTAATTTGACCATCTCCTTCCACGTGTCGACAATGGATGTTTGAAGATCTAGCTTGACGTGCACTCCGTCTTCTGCCAGAGGAAACAAGAGGTTCGATTCGCTAGCTTTTGGAGACTCGGGCCAAGCAAACGACACGGGGAAACTGTTAACGGCAACCGCAAATTCATCATCAAATCAGTCGGAAAGTCCAACGCGTGAGTTGTGAAATTGACAATGGTACAAGGAAAACTTACTGGATCAGATACTGTTGGGCGTGCGCAAAGGATGAATGGAGTTCGAAAATAGGAGGCAGATTAAGAATTTAGCAATTGCTGTGATTGACTAATTTGATGGAGATAAATATCGTACACTCACCAAATCAAGGTAAGTCGTCTTTAACTCCTTAAGGGTATCCTCCAAGCCTTCGGCGACCTTGCTGGGATGGTGCCAAGTATTCCAGAGCTTTGAACTGATTTTAATCCGATCTTCCCTCTTGACTCCGGAAGCCTCGATCGTCGCGACTTCTCCCTCCTGAAATTACGATAGACCAACCATCGGGTCAACATCGAAGACTCTTTCAATTCAAAGCCGTGACAACGCGAAGAAATGAGTTTGTGGGCGAACTTACGATTGCCATAAACCTTGGCACAGTCAATGTGACGGTAGCCAGATTTCAAGGCATGAGTGACAGCGTTCTTGACTTCGTTTGGCTTCGATAGCCAAGTGCCAAGTCCGATCTGAGGCATCTGGAGCCCATTACTGAGAGAGATCATAGCTTTGTCAGACATCTTGCTTTGAACACGAATCGATTGGCTTTTTTTTTTATTTGCTTTGGGGTGATAGGAAGAATGTATGGAGTGGATATTTATTGTCGAGCAACTTGGATGAGGAGGATGAGGCTCGACGCGTGAATCCCCGAGGTGGGATACTTATATCAGATTGATGACATAAGCATAATGTCATATCATATTCCATCAATGACGTCGATGCCATGGGGTGGGGTCACTGGGGTCACCACACAAAAACAAATTGCAGCTGAAATTAAGACATTTGTTCATAATTAAAATTGTACAGCTTGTGCAGTGGTGTAACAAATTCTCAAAGATCTTTCGGGAAAAAATGCTTGAATGAAGTAGATTGTGCTGATTGTGTGGAATGACGAACTGTCGATAGAGGGAGTGTTTGCCCATCTGCCGATCCTGATCCCGACCTCAGTCGATGACCCCATGAGGTCCCGCTCCATCCCCTCAGAGATGGGGGCACTGTCATTTGCAATCGGGCGCAATCGGAGTTATACAACATCATGTAGCTTGGTTTATAAATTTTTAGTGCAGGAGATATGTATCATGTTTAAGCAAATCGATGACTGTTTGGAAATTATAAAACGCCAAGCATACGGGGACCACGACCGAGGACGACAGGAGCTTTCAATGTATACGGCATCTAATCATATTGGCATTAGGAGGGCCGTTGCTGTTTTGAACTGTTTTGTACAAATCATATCACCAGGACTTGGGTCAGGCGACCCCAACTACGCAGAAGCTTCTTTGGCGACATCTGGTCTGGCCTGCAAAATTTTGGTTTAGGGAATTTCCCGCAGAAGCCATGACCCTTGAAGTTTGAAGGAAATCTGCCTCCAAGCCCCATCCCATCTCAAGGTGAACATCAAATTGCGCAGAGCAATCATTGCAGGGGAGGTGAGAGACGGTTTGGGGGCATTCATTTGCAGGGCCTTCACATTTTCTGACCCAGTTGAGAAGGTGATTGAGGAGGGAGTTAGCAATAATATTCCCCCTTCGGGTCCTGATGAATCAAATCTTGATTTACTTGACTGTAAATTTTTCTATCCCTTCCTTGCCGGTTGCAGGCCGGTCAGCACACATACACCAGGAAAAGTGAATTATCACTAGAGATGACAGGTGACACCAAAACAAGTTAAGCCTGCTAGCTACCCATCATCTCCCCCTTGTGAGTGCTCACAGACCCCTGAAGAGGACAAAGGGGTCATTTCATTCCCCAGACAGTACAAAAAGGCCAAAAAACCGCTAAAAAGCGCTGTAGCTTCGGTGTAGCGGGAGCTTTTATGCGCCCCATGGGCGTAGTGTTAGTGTGGATGAGTGAAATAAAGCTAACACTACGATAACAGCTAACACCCACTGGCGCCCTGCGTGCGTAGTGTTAGTGCAAATTTTCAGATTTGCGCTAACACTACGCTACATGTTAGCTTATTTTAGCTACACTATGCTACACTAATGCTACGGTTAGTGTAGCTGGCCCACCATTGGTTGTGGGTATTTTCCAGCCCACTTTGATGGAATTTCATCCTCTTTTCTTTTCCTTTTCTTTTTCTCTTCTTCTTTTTCTTACTCATGCCTCAAATCCTGACCAAAAATGATCACTCACAATCCACATTTTCATCATCTTGAACTCTCTTCCATTATAGTCTGACCTATCATTTTTGTTATGGAATCTGACCCCATGCTTGTAGTATTAGAGCCCTGTCATAGGAGGGCTTATTTTCTCTCAGAATGTCTAGTGCTTATCTTCTTGGTTGTAGATACTCCAATTAGGGTGTTTGCTGTTGTGCCCATTTTTGATTGCTCTTGAGTATTCTTCTCTATTCATCCCTATCTTATATTCAGTTTATTCTCAACCACAGGTTTGCACAGGTTTTACATTCAAATTATGGAAACACTCAACTTGAAAACAACTTCAACACACCTCACCCCGCTGCCCCTCCTAGCTCAGCAGAGACTTTGAATTTATTTTCTTACTGTCTGCTGAGCTAGGTAAGATTCTTAGTTCTATTTTCTCTCATTTTCTTAATTCATTCTTCTTTTCATTTGTCAATTATTTTGTATTTAACTAATGAGAGACTTTGAGTCCAACTCACATACACTAAACTCAAAAAATGTGGGATTTGGGTCCTGTTTCCTGAAGTATTGTGGCCATACAGGAACACATACAGGAGAAAGTGGCGCTAAGAAATGAGGTGCAAAAGGAAATTCTTACTGGAATCTCTGGGAATGGGAGAAATATAGATAGATTATGTACAGTCCCTACCTCAGATCTGCATCCGAGGTAGCTGTATATAGGGACTTTGGCAAGTCTCACAAATTACAAAAGTAGATGCCTGGGTTAGAGATGGTCGCGGATAATCCGTTGCGGATATCCGTTATCCGCTGGTGGATACCCGCCAGCGGGTGCGGATTCGGGTGCGGATGCCCCCTTCCCCCTGGAATCCTGGAGGATATCCGGGTATCCCAAGGGATATCCGCCCATACAGGATGCCTTGGGAGGGCCACAGGCTGTGAGAAACAAAAGAAAAAATGGAAAAATAAAAGAAAAAATGGGGCCTTAACAAAAAAAACATGGTTTTTGCTGCGCGCACTGCGCAGCAGACACATTTTTTAATTAATTTTTTACTGCTTGTTTTTTATTATTTTTTGAAATTTTAAATTTAATTCTTATGTTTTAAAGTGTGTAGAATTTAATGGTAAAAAGCATTTTGCATAAAAATTAATGGTTCTTTTTGAATAATGCAATTAGACACATTTTTTCAATTAATTTTTGACAGATTAATAATTAATTTTCATTATTTTTTGACATTGTAAATTTTTTCCCTTAATTAATTTTAATTTATTTTGCCAGCTTAATTTCCATCATTTTTTGAAATTTTGAATTTATTTACTACACTTTGAGTAGTGTCAAAGCTTATGGTATCATTTAATTTGACAAGAAATGAAAGCTTCAATCTTAATATATGAGTGTACCCCATTTATTACATAATTAAAGGGGCTTGGTTAATCGACTCCCCAAAATTGGAGAGTCGACTCCCAAACCCCGAAACCCCCGAAATTAGGGAGTCGATCCCCCAAAACTGTTGACCGGTTTGGGAGTCGACTCCCTAAGAATTTAATATAAAAAAAATAAAAACCCCCGGTTGGTTTGGGAGTCGATCCTCCCAAACCAACCACGGTTTGGGGGTCGATAAACCAAATCAACCCCCACCCCACGGCAGCGGCCGTGAGAGATCCTCCCGGCGGCGGGACGCATTCTTCAAGGGCAAGGAGGGGATACGGTCTCCTTCCATCAAACTATCTCCGACGACGCCCGCCACTTGGTCATCAAGGCCTACTTCCTTGCTCGCCATGCCCTCTCCGACTCTGACTGTCCTAGGCCCCCCGTCGG